TTCTAATTACGCTAGTTTCACACGTGCGTTTCATGAATTAGAAACTACGAGGTTCGCACAAAACGTAGTACGTGTTGGCTACAATTCTGAGGTATATAAAGCTCTACTGCCCGTATAATTTATATAATTTACTGGTCGCTCTGAGAAAGAAATTAAAAGGTGAGTTCGTTCACGGAAAAGATTAAAATTTGCAGCGCAAAAGTAATTAATTAGAAAAAATAAATAAAATCTAAAATTATTTACTTGCATCATACGATTAAATTTTATTCGCAGCATGAAAAAATGTCTTACGGTGAGAGATAATATAATATATCCTTAGGCATCAGGAAATGAAATAAATCTGCATGTTCTTTTTTATCGGGGATAATGTAGTGTATGATAATATCTAAAAGCAGTATTCATTAACCATCTGATGAAGTGTACTTATTTTTTACCTTACTTCTTCTTTAACTTCTATAAAAATAAAAATAAAAAAAAAAAACAGAAAATATTTTTTTGAGATTTTAATTTAACTAAAAGTGATATATTTAATAAAAATCTCACAGTAAGGGATCTGTCAAAGTGTAGCGATAATTGCTTTTCTATTGAAATGTTATTGTTGCTTAATAATTATAGTTACTTATCTTCACGCACAATCCCTAACGGGGTAGCCAGAGAGAACAGATAGCCAAGTGACACGATCCTTACATACCTCTTTCGCTTCTTTCATATAATAATTATAGTGATGACAATTACAATGCATCTGCATTTTTTTATTAGTCAAGGATGTCCTCCAGACTGAATTTTGGACACGGGGACCAGTCTCAACGCAAACTAGACATCAGCGCAGGATAGTATTAATTTGTCTGAGTGTATCCAAAGCACAGGTGCACTCTTTATTCTCTCACTCTCCAGTTTCCTGAGTCTGGGCTGGGTTGGGCTTTTCTTATTGAAAAGCACAACAACAACATTTTTCCTCACCCGTGCCTATGAGGCAAACTATGAGGGAGACCTGTGTTCACTAGTGGACTTTTATAGGCTGTAATGGATGTAATAAAATTGATGGCCTGACCCAGGATTCGAACCCGGGATCTCGTGATCAGCAATCGTGTTTATCACATCTAGGCCAAAGAGGGAGTCATAATCTAGAATATACGTAATATGGACAAGTCCATTTATAATCACATTATGGGAATGACAGTATACTTATTTATTAATCAGAAGCACAAACATAAACTTTGCATTTTGTAGATTTATACATTGTATTTATTGAAAGTCACTTTTATGTTTAATTTACCACTGGTCCGGAAAATTTTCTGTCCTGAAAAGAAGCAGCAAGAAACCCAAATTGAAGTATTTTTGAAGAAAGAAAGAAAAATTCATACGTTTAATACGTTACACAATAATTAAAAACACAAAACAAACTAGAAATAGCTTAAAAATCTTTGGTATTATAATTACCCTTTATATACAAACTTGGTTAAATATTTTTTTGATGCTAGCGGAAGTCATATTTTCTATTTTCGTTAATGTGTTGAGAGTCCGTAGTTGTATATTAATTTTCTTAAATATAATAGATTCAAATTTGGTACGAAATTCTCAGTTTTCAGGTTGAAGATACGCTGCTAACATGTTGCTTCGAATTGCTAATTGCGACACCTGTGCTCTGTTCCGTTCCGAATCATACATACATTTACGTAGCCCAGAGGTCAAATTGGAAACATTCTGCAGAAATTGAAATCGAGGGTACAAATATGATGTTTGTATCTTTTTGTACAGTTTTGTCCAATAATATACTACAAAATTATATATATCTAAAAATTAAACCCGCTTGGTTTTTTGCTGGTTTTTCCAGGACAGTGGTATTTTCAGAACTAGTGATAAATAAAAAAATAATTTTCAATAAGTATTATATCATAATAATCATTATTTTTGTAGAATTTACTTTATTTCTAGTAGTTCGTAGATGGATTACCAATCACAATACCAACGTCTAAGACCTACGTACCATTTCCTTAGCATTTAACATAGATGAAACAGTTTAACAAAATTAAATTTCATTTTCTATTTTATTTATCCTCCAGAAGATGTGCAGTAGCTTCATTTTAATGACAATTAGAAAGAACTGTGGTTACCACCCGCCTGCCACAAGCATAGGCTATTGGAAGTATCTACCTTGTGAGACAATCTATGGAAAGACCTATGTACCGCAGTGGATTTTAATAGACTGTTATTTTGAAAATAATTAACAAAAATTTTTAGCCATCTTCTTTCATAGTTATCCTTACGAGTTACTCGAGACAGACAATAACGGATTAATCCACTACAGCACTGCAAACATTCGTTACTCTGTCATACGTTTGTATTGTCAACTAAAAGAAACCCCCCTCAGAAATGAGAGAAGGACTGTGCCCAGCAGTGTAACGTATATTGGTTGTAACTTTAAATGTTAAACAAGCCCTTAGTCGTGTCTGCTAGTTATGAGGGTACTTACTCATTTTTAACTCCGTTGGCATTCCCTGTAGATGTATTGAGTGACGTGACGCTCAGATACACAGCCACTTAAAAGGGAAGGCTTAATTGGCTATTTGTATAAAGACTGCAGTGCTCAGTAGAAAATGACAGTATTTCATACAGTCATTGAGGATAGAATAAAATAGAACAATATTTATTGAATATAGATTACAAGAATGCTTATTGAAAGGCATTTATGCTTTTACCTGGTTTGGAAAAATACCTCTATGTGGGAAGAACCAGCTCGTCACTGCTTTTATGCAGCGGGAATAATTATTTAAAAAACAATTTATTATTAAGTGAGTTGTACAATTACAGGCCCAATGCATTCAATTTCAAAAGGTGCAGGTTCTAAAACATGGAATACTGTTGACATAATGATTTCTTATATTTACGCGAACACTACACATTGAAATAATACTAGTTTTTACGGAATTTATCGCGTATATTTAACTTTTTAAATACCCGACGTTTCGAGAGCTTTACAGCACCCATGGTCACGGGAAGGACTGAGATGTTCAACGTCCAGATGTAATAGTTAACCGCGGTTACCATAGATTAAAATTTAACTTTTGTTCCGATCTACACATTATGAACTTGCGTATGCTTGGATTGGGATTTAATTTTATTTATTATATGATCCCAAGCAGATGGTAGCACCCAGCCATCTTCTCTATTGAAATTAGGATGTTTTTTGATTTCAATAGCCTCGCGAATCATCCTTGGAAGGAATCGGTGTTCTTTAGCGAGGATTTGTGATCTATCAAATCTGATGTAGTGACGGGGGCGATCCTGTACGTGTTCACAGACTGCAGACTTCCCGGAGCGTCGATTCTTCACATCAGCTATATGTTCTTTAACGCGGGTTTTAATTGATCTTTTAGTTTGTCCTATGTAGGAGAGGCCACATTCACAATCAAGCTTGTACACTCCTGCATCTTGCAGAGGGACGTTACACTTGACTGATGGTAAAAACTGACCAATCTTCTTCGGCGGCTTGAAGTATGTTTTGATGGAAGCGCGCTTCAAGATGTAGCGGCGGAGTTTTACAAAGCTCTCGAAACGTCGGGTATTTAAAAAGTTAAATATACGCAATAAATTCCGTAAAAACTAGTATTATTTCAATACTGTTGACATCGCTGGGTTGAATCACCCTAGTGTCAGCTCCTTACACTTGACTGCATAAAATGGACCATACCTCAAATCTTCGATGATCGAGCTCCTTCTGGTCGTTAAACTCAACGGGTCTTGTAAAAAGACGTTGCATCTCTGCATTTTTTATAACATATGCCACAAAAAGCTCTTTGAGTAATTGTTTAGATGAAATCTAGCCGCTTTTATTCACTATCTGACACTGCGATAGAATTCTTCATTCAATCCTCATAGTATTGATAGTTAACAATTAAATTTAATGTGTTTCATAATTAGTTTACTTGCACGTACGATCAAATTTTAGAATTCACTATCGTCAGTTTTTCAGACCAATATTAATTTGGTAACTTTTAAGAATAAACTTCACTCCTACCTCAAAAACAAGCAACTTCCCTACAATTTCTCTTGTATTTCATTTGATCATGAGCGGTGGATAACCTTTTACAATAATGTGAAATATATGCTCGTGTGCCTTCTATTCAAAAAAGAGATCGTATATTAGAATCCTCATCAATATTCAGCACTGAAATATAAAACTGAAACAGAAATGAGAGTTTCGCCAAAGGGCTAAGTTATTCGATAATACTAAATTCTCAACATCGGTTTATAAGTCTTCAAAGGCAACAAAAGATTTTAAAAGAAAGTGCTAGCAAAAAATTTCGTGACTCCTCAATATGTTATCAAGAATGTTATCTCTATTCGTAAAAAGCTTGTAATTATATTAATATATCCTGATATTTAGGAACCAAGTGAGTGATCCCAGTAGTGAAGAGGCTCGGGAGCGACTTCTTGAAACCTCGGGGGAGATCTTCTTGAAACTGCCGGGCGAGCACTGCGTGACACACTACGAATCCCTTCAGCCAGTAATGATGCAGCCGTCGAGCCCCGGACTTTTCCTGTTCGAGGACCTACAGACCGCGTCAGCCACGTCTTCCGGCATAATGGTGACGGGGCCCATCGCTCGGTAAATCGTCGAATCCGCTTTCCCCAAGCAGAATTTTTTTGCTTCAGGTCATTTATGCTCTCCGTTAGTTCCTACGTGATATTCGGCTGGGACAAACTGCTATTTGTCCCAGCAAACGCCATCCTAAAGGTAAGCATAACCCTTGGTCTATTATTACCCGACCTGAAGCTTGTCAGTCTGCCAATAAGGGCCCTTGCCTTTGCGATACCTCGATTCTTTTTCTCCAAGCTGGGAAGGCGCCAATAATACGGCAAACTGCCAGCGTGGCGCCAAAAAGAATTGCATCCGTCTCGCAAAGGTCCCGGCTGGCTTCCAAATATGTCACCAGCATTGAGATAAGAGCCTTCACGACAGCCTGATTCCGCTACTTAATGGTATACGGAGGAGTCACGGTCGATTTTTGAGAGGCTTGCTGCGCGTTTTCGAAATCGCATCTTCCAATATGCTCCTCATTTGCTCTAGTTCCTGGGACACTATTTCATCATCGTGTGAATCAACCACAACTGGAAGATCCATGGTGACTTCCACGTCTGGATGCTGGTTTATGGCCTGAGGAGCGGCATCCCCAGCCAAAGCCAATTCATTCGATGTGGGAGTAGCCTCACGCCGTAGTCGTTCGAGTTCAGCACCATAAAATATTTTTGAGCGCATAATGTATCGAGCTTGGTCTGCCAGGTTTTGTTCCGTGACGGGAATAGATGGCTCCAGCTCAGCAAAAGAGCAATGCATCCGAGCCCGAAACGCTATCCCTGGAATTTCTTTCCCTTTCACCCTATAGTACGCCCGTAATGCGTTTGCGTTCATATTTTTTGTCCAACGCATGCGGCGCACTCCACCAGCGGTGGATGCCCCTGCCGATTCCGAGAGGACCCTGGGCATAAAGTCATCTGGTGGGGATGATGGATGCGGGGAGCTGCTAGGTGGTGATTGTGCAGCTCCTCGCGCCCTTGGCGCCCCGAATGGTGCCGCGTCCAGCGCCAGCTCCAGGTGCGCCCCGGCGACCCCCACCGTTTCATTGTACGGCCATAAGCACAAACGGGCCTTTGCACCCTCAGTTTCGTCAATTAACTGTTAAGTCATCGGGCGATGAGGTCGTCACTTCACCCTATCAATTTATTATTTTTATATGCGAAATAAACATGTTTAAAAATTTATCAATTTATCAAGGATTTATCAATTTTTCTCCAATTTCCAACTGCTCCGGTTCGCGTCACATCTACACTCCTATTCTTCTAGGCCTCTTTCCACTAGTAAATATCTGAAACCCTAAGCTAACTATATTCTTGATTTTACAAGGTAATGTCTATATGTAAAAATCAATTGCTGACCGTTAGTCTCGATAAAACTCGAAAACCGTTTAAATGCTTTTGATGATTTTTGTGTGCGTATGAATGGGAAACCATCCAGGGTTTAAATTTATTTTATGACCCGCTAGTCGAAGCTGTTTTCGAGATCCAGAAATCACCCGTGTGAAACCCGGGCGGATCGCTAGTAATCAATAAATATTATACTCATAATTGAAAATCAGAACAGGTGAAGTAATAACAAAATAATCAGCCGTATAAATTGTATTCAAGGAGACGCTATAAAATTTTTACCGGTGCAGGCGTTGTTCTTATTGCCTATTTACGAGCACATAAACCGACCTGAATTGGAAAAGGTTATTGAGGAGTAATGAAAAGAAGGATTTAGATAGTCGCAATGCTATATCGATTCCACATTACCAATGCTGTCTAATCTAATCTGAACACACACACACTTCATTAAAACTACTTTTACGGATTTTATCGCATATATTTTTACTTTTTATTTTTAATTCCCGACGTTTCGGGCGCTTTCCAGCACCCATGGTCACGGGGGACTGAGATGACTGACGTCCCGATGTCATTGTTAAACCCGGAGTACCTTCAGCTTTTTTAATTATTGTTTATGGTCCGATCTATGCAAAATGAACTGACTATGTCTTGAGGTCTTGCAGTGGTATGCTTGGGTTTAGTTTTAATTTTATTGATTATAGGATCCATTTACCAACCATTACATCAGATTTGATAGACCACAAATCCTCGCGAAAGAACACCGATTCCTACCAAGGATGATACGTGAGGCTATTAAAATTAAAAAAAACATCCTAATTTCAATAGAGAAGGAGGCTGGGTACTACCACCTGCTTGGGATCCTTGGGGTCCCCCGTGACCACGGGTGCTGGAAAGCGCCCGAAACGTCGGGAATTAAAAATAAAAAGTAAAAATAAACGCGATAAAATCCGTAAAAGTAGTTTTAATCATGTGCAATGTTCGCGTAAATATAAGAAATCATTATATACACACTTCTTTCAAAAATCCAACTATTCATTTTTGAAAGAAGTGTGTATATGTTCAGTTCAGTTATTCAACTCAGTTAATAAAATTAATAGAATCAGGCGTTAGATATGAAATATATAATAATAGTAGACATAACAGTACGCCTCTCGAAAATCGACCGCGACTTCCCCGCATAGCCCTAAGCAAACGGAATTGGGCTGTCGAGAGTGCTTTGAACCCAATGCTGGTGACCTATTTGGAAGCCAGCGGGGACCTATGTGAGACTGACTCAATTATTTTTGGCGCAGCACTGGCAGTCTGCCATATTATAGGCACCAAGGTTTCCACGGCTGGACGCGCTACTAGACAAAGTAGCGCTATCTCAGCCTGGAGAATAGGAATTGAGGAACGTATCGCAGAGGCTAGGGCTCTCATTGGCAGACTGATATGCTTCAGAATAGGAGAATAAGAATTGAGGAACGTATCGCAGAGGCTAGGGCTCTCATTGGCAGACTGATATGGTTCATAATAGGCCAAGGATTGTGCACACCGTCAGGATGGTGTTTGCTGAGACAAATTTCAGTTTGTCCCAGCCGGATATAACGCAAAAACTAACGGAGTGCATAGATGATCTGAAGCAAAGATTCGCTGCTTGGGTAAAGCGGATTCGGTGATATACCGAGAGGTCGACACGGTTCAACCAGAATCGTCTCTGCCAGAGTGATCAGAAGAAGCTCTATGAATCATTAGAGTGAACAATGGTAAGTGTGTGTGTGTGCGTGTGCATGTGCGTGTGCATGTGTGTGTGTGCGTGTGCGTATGCGTGTGCGTGTGCGTGTGCATGTGTGTTTGCGTGCGCATGTGCGGGTGTGTGTGCGTGCGTGCTTGCGTGTGTGTGTGCGTGTGCGTGCGCGCGCGCGCGCGTGTGTGTGTGTGTGTGTGTGTGTGTGTGTGTGTGTGTGTGTGTGTTTGTGTGTGTAAACGTGTTAACATCTTATAACTTTGTAACGGAGTGTGCGATCGAAAAGCGGTTTGCGGTAACTGAAATGGCCTTATTGAACTTAGATTTGTTGTGAATTTAGACCGAATCGGCGGGGAAGATTCTGAAAAAACCTAAAAATTCCAGTTTTTAAGTGTCTATTTTTTTCGACACTATTGTTTTGAACAATTCTATTATCTTATCAGTTCTTCTACTCAAATGACATCGATTGCTGCAAACCGCAGAAATCAGTTGATACTTTCGAGAGATATCGTAATGGAAAGAAACCTCGAAAAAGTGTTTTTTTTTTTAATAATTCGAAATTTTTTAACAATTTCATCCTGAACCTATTACGATTTACGACGTTGAAATTTAAACCGCTTTGCATTTGAAGTTAGCGCGAAGGCAGGTCGGTAGGGTCAGCCGTATTTTTAAGCTATTGCATAGCTTCTATCGCGGGCCTTGAGTGCGGGAAAATCCAGAAATTTCGTAACGAAAAACCTCACGCTCTCCGACGGGCACGGAGGTGTGGCTTGAAGGCCGTGCATTGTCTAACGATGATCTAACGTCGTTTCTTTTCCTCAGTCTTCGACACGGTGTTTGTGTATAAAGTGTTTTGAAATTTTGAATATGAATGAACAAAGTGCATTTATTATTAAGGCTGCTCTCTCGCAAAAAGCTTGAAAAAAGCGTGCAGATGAACCAACTTTTCGTCGACACTTACAGAGAAATTACATATGAAAAAAATAGCTAGTAATCTACATGATCTGATACGTAATTTGGTTTAGCCATAATTTTTCTATCGGTGTCACATAATAAATAAAAAAATACCCAAATCACCTCCAAATCGTTGAGATGAAACCACTTTACTCCTTCATTGTTTATCAAAGGAATATAAAAAAAATATCTACTGCTTTGCAATACAAAATAAAATAATTTGGTTTGGTTACTTTTTAGAAATATGTATTATTTTTATGATAATAAATTAAAAATGCGTCCCGATTAAATACTGCGTCTATATCACCCCCGCATTCGTCCACAAATTCACTGCGGGGCGCATCGTGTTGCAAGGTGGACGTACGCCGCGTTGCGAGAGCTCAGCACTACGAAATAAAATCGTAAAATATTACTGCAAAAAATTTAATTTTGTTAATAGTGGAGTAGGTTTTTTCTGATTCTTGTTTAATAGTAGTGTTTTATAGTTATATTAATTGTACAGTTTTATTAATGTTTAAGTTTAGTTTGTAAAACATGGGGAATAAGCAGAAATGATTGAAGAGAGGTCTAAAAAATTATTACAAACAAAAGGGTATACATTTATCAAGGTAAGTTTTAAGTTTTATCTACATATTTCATAATATTAGACAGGTGCTGTCTATAAAATACCTATATTACTGTGATTTCGCCACTCTGTGACGAGACAAAGCGCAACAAACGCAAGTAGCGGCAAGGCGCGGGCCGCGTCGTCGCATGCTGGTAGCGGAGTGGCGCGGAGAGGGGTCGTTAGCTCCGCCCAAATGCACAAGGCCATTAGCGTGAATACAAGCCTTAATGAAGAAAGTCACGAAAAAATAGTGAAAGAAAATGAGTGAGTACTCTATATACATACCTACATTTTATTATTATCACAAATGCAGTACTAATTTTGAATTGAAAATATAATACTGCTATAAAGATAACCTAAATTTTTGATATTAAAATGAGCGATATTAAAAGTAGCCCTCTTTATATACACAAACACACACACGAGTATAGTTTAAATTCTCAATTTAGATTCTCAATATGTATATATATACTCGATTAACCGGACTAATTGTTGCCGTTAGGGATTCGGATAATCGAAAATCCGGGTGATCGAATGTATGAAGAAAAGCGGGTTTTGTGCATTTGTAGTACATATGTACATACATAATATTATGTGTTTATTAAAAATAACAATTTCAACGAAAATCAATGTTTATTAAGAAATTATTATTGTACTGCGCGAACCTGAGTTTTTTGCGACGCGGTCCGGTGATACAGTATTTTTCACAAATAGTGAGTTCGTTATAACGCGGGTTCGGTTAAATCTGGTTGAATTTGATTGGATTAACCTAAGTAACTTGAATTAATATCAAAGAAAAAGAAATACTGCATAAATAAAATAAATAAATAATTATAATTGCATAAGTTGATACAAAATGCTATGCAATAGCTTTACCGCGGCAGTCCCCGAGTGCCACACGTCTTTTTTTAATATTATTCTCGTGCTAAAAGCTAAGACGAAAAGTTATTTTTTTTAACTCATAACAACCCAACTCTGAAAATCAGTCAGAATAGACAAAATTTGCTTATTGCTGATCGTTAGTTCAGTTGGTTCGCACCTTTGACATTGATCTCCGTCACTGGTTTGCGTACATCTTGCATACTTTATATAGATGGTGATATTATCTCTATTTTATTAAACACAAGTGACAAACCAACTTACAGTCCACCTGGTGGTAAGTGGCTACAGCAGTCCATGGACACCTGAAGCAAACATCAAGGCTAAATACGCGTTGTATTGAGTGAGGCATAATACGTTATGCCTGCATGCACAACATGTAATAATTATACTGGTA